GTATTAAAAAAATACCTATCTATAAACCCCAACACTTTTGAAAATCTAGAATATAAACAAGGATAACATAGGGTGTTACCCTCATTCAAGAACCAGGAGAAGTTCTGCTCCAGTCTGTCTCTGGACCAAAACATCTGACATACCAAACCAAAGCTATCTGTTAATCATGAGAAAAGGACACCCACTCTAAATAGGAAGCCAAAATAAATTGAGACATTTGGCTACAAAACTAAATGAATCAGAACACTCACCTTATTTTTCTGATTGCCACTCAGAAATGATCCTTTCTGAGGCGAGTTTGAGTTGCCCTGATTTTCAGCCCTGAGATTGTAACGCTGTCTTCCATTCAGTTGCTAAATCATTAGGAGAAAAAAAAAACCCAGAAGTATTTCATCATCTTAAATTTACCTTTGGAAAGTAGTTTTTCTTGTATAGACTTAAAAAACATAAGACAATTCTTCTCAAACATGCCTACAACAACATGAAATTACCTTTTAAACTGATTTTCTATTAAAAAGTCACTTATTAAGAAATAAAGTTAAATTAAACCAATGAGAACACCAATTCACATGTAATTTCTTCTCCTCTACTGTATTTTCAAGCAAGGTAAAGCATAACCAAGAAGCAAAACTGACAAAAGAAATCTCCTTCTGAACACGGACAAGCCTGGCCTACAGGAAGCATTACCTGGAGCAGAGCTTTAAGGAAATCCTTGCATATCTGTGCAAAGAAACTCTTTCTTGACACCAAATGTGGTATATCACTGCTCCAAACTAAATGTTCCTGCCTTGGAAAGACAACTGGAGCTACTCAATGCAAAATAGCTGTCAGTTAAGAAACTTTTGGTCCCTTGCATTCCTGGATTACCTCATTTCTCCAAGATAAGGGTTATTGCAATTCTAATACACTGACATAAAAATTAAATTTGGTTTGTACCAATAACGATCACAACCACAGTCATAATTCAGCTTCTACGGAAAAGCATTTTCGTACAAACAAAAGAAAAGTCTTACTTGAGTAGGAACAAAAAGAGAGCGAGGAGAATGGTTGAGGCCTCCCAGATGCACTTTTTGTGAGCACACAGATGAGAGATCAGATGCATATGAACTGTAGTTATTCACAGCTGGCTGAGGTTTAACTATGGCCGTCAGTTTTTGATTTCCCATTTCTGACCGACTACCATGAGACAGGTTAATTAAGGCACTTGATGGCAGACGATAACCTCTGGCAGGCGAGCACCTTCGGAAAAGCAAATTCCATAGCTTTTTCATGTAGTCCAACTGTTGACATTTCAATATATCTGATTTAACAACACTGCTGCTTCTATGCTAGAAGATAATGATTCAAGTTTGAGCAGCAGAAAACGGTCTCAAATATTGAAATCTAGTATCATTACACACAGCGTTAATCCCTTTGTGCTCCCTTTTGGCCTCTGGCTGTCAAAACCAGAAAACAACAGTAATTAGTACCACTATCAGTTTATAGTGCACCTTTCATTGCTGATGTCAGATTTTAAAGATGAGTTAACTGTTAGCGTGTAACTCCATGGTAAATATTTCTGAGGCAAATTATGAACCAGGAAACAATATTATTTTCTTTTTCTGAGATGAAAAGTAAAGTCAGTAGCAGAATCATAAACTGAATTTAAGCAGCATTTCATCAGTTTCGTATCTTCTTTATCATTATGAATACTGAAGATTACCTGTGTTACAGGACACGCTCTTGCAAGGTATACGATTGTGTTATGCTGGCTGAATGAAGGGAATTCTCCCCTTATTTCAGTCACAAAAAACTTAATTTATCGAAGAACCACAATAAAATAAAGCCTGCTGGTAAATTACTCCCCTGAGAAGTTTGCCTGCTTACTAAAGTACTGAAAAGTTATCACACTTTTTAAAACAAAAGCATTAACCATGCCTCCACCTCCTGAAGAACAGGTTAGGTTTTTAAACATGGTTAGAATTTAGTGACTAAGAATCAATTCCTAATAGTTCCGAGTCCCTCCTTCAGAGGAACAGATGATTACTGACTATTTTTAATCTCCATGTTAAAAACATACTGATAACAACCTGTTTTCTACATATTTGTTTTAGAAAGACACTGGATCTAGTACTTGATTCTGCTGGTTCATATTTGGTTTTTACAAATCAGAAGTTTCTAAATACACAAAAAAAGCCTAAAGAACATTTCCAAAACATAATATGCTTCATAAAAATTATCCCTACTCAGAGGGAAAAAAATAAACAAAAGGAATAAAAATTGACCAACACTGCTGAGAAACAAAGTTTTAAAAAGAGGCGTTAAAAATATTCCACCAAGCCCAAGGCAACAGTTTCAAGCCATCGATACCAATAGCATGAAATGACCATGAAATTCCCTGCACATACCTTATAGTTAGGCCTCCAAGGAATTCTTCATCAAACAAAACTTCGAAGAGCACATCTGTTTCTCTACTGGCTATAGAAAATGAAGTAAAGTGTCATCCTATATACATAGCAGCAGCTCTTTTAATCTAAATTATGTAAATATCTATATTAAATATGCCATAAATAATGAAAAGTCCCAAAACCAATTAGCAACAAAAAAAAATTTCATGTCTTAAATGAATAAATTCAATAATAGCAAGTTGGAAATTCTTCTCTCAGGCATAGATGGCTGCCCTTTTAGGTATTTTTAACAGAAATGTGCCAGGCATAACAACTGCACTAACAGAACTGTAACTCACTGCAGTATGTCACAGTTGTCCGAAACTGCCAGAAAAGAGATGCCAGCCATCTTTACATTCAGGCAGTCAGAAACCAACAGCGTTAACATTACCTTCTCGCATAGTGATAAACCACCACTCCTTTAAAATTACACTAGTATATAATCATTACAGAGAAAAGAACACTTCTTTTAACAAGTTGCACTCAAGTCTGGTCTATTCAAGATTCTGCTGGATGCAAACTGAATGAGAAAGCAACTACTCAAATGTCAGGTAACAAAACAATTTTGATCACTAGATCTCAAACTGCTACACTTGACGTGATTCGGCAAACCTTTTGTTGACCTGAAATAATCTTGTCAACGAAGGTGTAAATCCATGCCATTTAACAGAAACGGAGTATCACAGAGTAAAACAAATTACAAATAAAACACTTCGAGACAAATCATATTTGATAAAAGATTCTATGTTCAGTGTAAGTATTAAGGCTAATACGTTTTTTTGTCTCTACTTTTCTTAACTCTGCCCATATAATTTCATTTTGTGCCTTTTTTTGCAGCCTGTGTTCTCCGATTTCTTCATATTAAGGAGGAACAAACGTTAAGTAATTGCTTACTCAAAGTACAGCTGTGTAACACATGAAATCAAAACAGAATACCTGGAAGTTTAATACAAAACAGTAAATATATAGCTAGCAGCTTCAAGTTGCATATGCTTCTTAGGTGAGAAATTTCTGTGCATTCACAACCATTATACTAAACACTTCTCTGACACCTGCTTTCACATCACTAGCTGAGCTGTTATATTAACTATAATGCTACCATTATTAAGAAAACATTACCTCCTTTAATTCCTATAATGGTACCTCGAAGACCAACTGGAACAGAAAAGTTCTCTCTGACGTTGACAACGCGGTCAAACATCCTATACTCTGCATCTCTATCTGGAACAACCCCGTTCTGTTGTTCTAATGGCTGGCAGTAACCAAAAGACTGTGTTAATCTTTGCCAAAAAACACAGGGATTACAATCAAGATGCATTTATAACAGTATCTGAAACACACCGTAAAGTAAGCTTTCTGAAAGAAGTATTCAAGAAAATAGAAACTTCCCTCCCCAGATACCAAGCAACTTTCATTTTTGTTCTTGCAACCTTCACTCACTGCTTCTGCCAGAGAAACAGCAGTGCTGTACATCATCCAAGACAGATCAATTCAGATAAAATAAAGCCATCAAGTGTAACCTGCCTGTATCAGCAACACAGGTAACTCTGAACTACCAGGCAAGATGAACAGGTCATATGTCAAGAACTGATCAAAAAGCAAAATAGGGAAATAGAGACAAAGGGAAAGTATGTTTTATTTTGCCTTCATTACACAATCAACAAGAACTGTAGTATGAAGGACAGAAGGGAAAAAAGAACTGAAAGTCAGTATGACACATGACAGAGTTTGTAGTTAGTAGAAATGCTCTCCCTGTAGAGACAGACTACCATTCTCAAACTGATTTTCTAAAGGGAATCGTACAACTTTTTCTTCCATCAATACTGTCCTAGAATTCCACACTGAAAGCTGGTAAGCATAGGTAAAGTAAGTATGATCTGCACAGCTTAACTTGTAAAAAAAAAAAAAAACCCCACCAAAAAACGCAACCCTTTTCACATCACTTACTCTGTACAGCAAATGGGGTTTCACAGTTACTCGCACCTTCTTGTTACTCTTTCTCTGCTAAAGGAAAGGAACAGAAAGCCATTACAAACTAGTGTAGGAACCAACACTGGATTTCAGGTACAACAAAACACCTGAGAAGATAAGGTAGAATTCTTTAGTTTCCTTTAGATAAAGGCATACAGCTTTCATAAAGCCTTTAGGATGACTTAATCCAGTTTTTAAAACGTGACTGATTTCTTACCAAAGCTTTTGAATTGTTTGGCTAATTCCAGAATTCACACCAATTTCATGATCATGTCCTCGCAAGTAATTTCAAAGAAACCAGCCCATTATTTCATTTGGCTTTGCCTTTACTTTTTGCTTTTGCAATTTCCTTGGCCCCTTTTTTGATCTGTGGCCTTCAGGAAACAACTAATTTTCCTCAAACCAAAAAGAAACTGCAAGGGAAGAACAGCTGGGATTTCACTTAGAAACAGCACTTCAGAATACATACTGACAACCTGTTCCTTCCTGAAATCACAAGAGAGAGCTCAGAGTATGGCCTAATGCTGCTGAACAGCCTCAAAAAAAGTAAGTCAATTAAGAAGATTAATAATGAGCTCTTCTGAATTTCTGGGAGAATTCACATTACAAATTCAGATCTTACATTACATTCTTGCCAATCTGAAGAAAAAGAATAATCTTCAACTGTCTTATTCTAACTCAAGAACTTGAAAAATAACAAACAGCTGCTTTTTTGTGCACCCCCACTCACAATGATGTCAACCTGCATACCTTGCATTTCTCTATTTCTTCTTCAATTTTCTCAACAATGGCTGCATCCAAAATTTGCAAGTCACAAGATGAGCGAGACAAAGAAGACACAGGATGTGCCTTTAACCAGGCAACAATTTCCTGAACTTTCTCAGCTCTGAATAAAAAAGGACATGAATTAAAACTTAACTGCATAAATGAAGCATTTTACCACGTTCCCTGTTTCAATCAGTCAGGTATTACAATATGGGCACAATGCTTGCACATGTTCATCAAATAACAGAATTCAGGAGTTCTGTATGAGTTTAAAATAGGGGTTAAAAAATGTAACTGAATCATGCAATACTGTTTCCAAACCGTAACCTGAAGTTTTGTCTCAGTCAAAAAAAAAAAAAAAGAAAAAATTAAATTCTTGAAGAGTATTCGGAGAATTATGTTTGCATCCGCCCAACTAACCATGTCCGGCTGTGATTAAAGGTTCTGTGACCAGCTGCTTCTCATACCACATTAAGAAAGAACTTCAGGGCATGGCTGTCTGCTAAAATGAACACAAAGCCAAGATGCTTACAGACGAGTCCCACAGTGCCTGGTAGGAGTCCTGCAGAGCGCAGCATCATGCAGGCTTACCAACTCAAGCCTGTGAATAGGGCTTATTAGCTAACAATAAAAGTTTTTTTAATGTTACTATTCTGTATCTGGAACCAAGGTTGTTCCTTGTTCCCCATTAAACTGATGGAATGTATACTAGAAAGTGCAAACTATTTTAAATTCTGTACATTTTATTTTTCAAATTTAAAGTGATCTTAAACAATAAAATTAATTATAGCTTATTTTCAACAACAACAACAAGGTATTTTGGTGACTTTGTGACTACTCCTAATTATGTTTACTGAAGGTTACTCTAAAAGTGAGAATTATGAAATAGCCACCAGAAATGAGATTTCTCATTTACTGGACTTGAGATAGGAGTCTGACAGAGACTTGGACTCCACGACTGGAACATATAATGTTCTCACAACTGAACGATCATGCTGCTCAAGGACCAGCAAGGCTTCAGTTACATAGCAGCCACTATATGATCATCACCAATTTCACAACGTTGTCAGCCTTTATTCTACTTACTCTAGGAAAGAAAATTAACCCTTCCCCCCAGCAAACCACACCAAAAAAACCCAACCCAAACCAAAACCAACCAAAAAACCCCACCACAAACCCCAAGAAGAAAAAAGGAGAACGATGGCTTACCCATTCTCATCCTCCCCAGGCCAAATGTCATCTTCATAGAAGATATCTTCCTGACTGTTCTTGGCTATGTAACTAAATAGTTCAGGGACCCTAAAAAAATGAATAAATGGAAGAAAAATTTAGTTTCACATCAGGACAGACCACAAAAAAGCCTCATCAAAATAAACTTTGACAGGCCTCAAAGTTTCTGTAACCCATACGGATTATTTTTTAACTTAATTTAGTGTCATAGTGTTCATTTGTCAAGAGTAAGCTGCTGACAAAATTACTCTATCCCAAAACATGCTTCACCTTGGAAGGAGAGACTGTTGGAAACAAAATATTGGAATAAAAGAAATTCCATCAAGCAATCTACACAGGCAAACTCATCGGTTTTTAGAAGATCTGTGTCCAGAAGGCAAAATTCAAAGACTGATACGAAGGTGGATAATTTGGATGAAGTTCATATCCAATATTTACCTTTCTAAATACTCAGCAAGTAGTTGTTCTACTGCAGAAGAATACATCCATTCATTTCCAACTTTCTTAGTATAGCCAGGAACTTCTTCATTTTTCTTATTGAACTTCAGGTTTAGCCCCACATTTGCTTTGTGATCTCCGTGAGGACTGGAGATAAAAAAGTTTATTAATTTACAGTAATATATATGTGTATATATATACATCAAAGCCACATATAAACGTACATTCCTCAGCCTGAAACCACAGAAAAATTAAATATATTGTACTGTTTACTTGTTAGCACTGCAACAGCTATAAACGTTACAGGACATCAGCTGTGCTATGGTAGCTCTCCACATGCATGCCCGGACCTTATTGCAAAGGAGGGTAGAGAATATTTTACCCTTCTTCCTTAACTGAGATTTAATCAACCACAGTCTACCTGGCACTTGCCTCGATGTAAGATGTCCCTGAACAACCAGCGGGGAACAAACATACACATTAAATCACAGGAAGATGCTCATGCATCAAACACTTCCTTACTGAACTGTCCTAGGAAACCCCGATTCTGACACCGAGAACTAGAGGGATTGCCTCCCTTAGATATTTTAAGCAGTTTTAGTTCTTCAAAAAAAGTTCAACATACTATTATTATCCCTTTATACTAGCAGTAATGGTAAGTATAATGAAATTAGATCACAATTCCACTTTTTATTCTCAGTGTGGCAGCCAGTTCGAACTTCTCCTTCAATTACACTAACAGCTAACCAGGAAAGTCAATTTACATCTGCCTACAATACTAAAGCCAACAGAACAACTCTCCAGTAAACAAAAACTAAAAATAATTTGGTAGGAGAGAAAAACACTGCATATGAATTTAGCTTACAGCAAACATATTTTGAACAAAGCTTCACGTCACAAACCAGCTATACACATGATAAGAACAGCACTTAAATAGGCAGAAATTCTGTATTTGAATTTAGAAGCTTCTCTTTCTTTAAAATACACAAAGAGAACTTACTTTTTCTTTGATCCTCTTCCAATAAAGATACTCCCTGTAAATCTGGAGACAAGATATCCACTTACTCCAAGACGGCTGGCCAAAATATATGCAGGATTGTATTTCACAGAATATTTCTTTAAAGCAAACAAACAAAAAATATTGGCAATTCCCAAAGGATAAGAGTTTTTATACAAAAGTCAAATGAATATGAAAGCATCCGTATTTTACATTTACCACTGCAAAATATGTTTGAGCTTTAATTTTAAAAAGGTTTAAGCTTCTACTAGAAAACCAAAATCACTTACATGCTGGTTCTGTATTAAAGGATCAAGATGAGGTTCACATGGAATATTGAAAACTACACGAATTCTACCTTCTGTGATCACATCACATGAATCTTGAACCTTGGAGAGAAATACAACACATGAAAAATGTTATTTAAAAACAGCAGTCTTTGGATACATGACCTTGTAGCCAATTTTGCTGCAGTAGGCCCAGAGATGCTTTGGGATTCATCGTCTTGCCATGACCTGTACACTGCCTACTCATATAAGCTATCAAACAACACTAAATCAAAGGAACCCATGACTGAAAATAGTCCAAAATGGCAACTCTAAGTCTTGCAAATTATCCCAAATTAAAAAAAAAAAAAAATTGGATACATGACCTTGTAGCCAATTTTGCTGCAGTAGGCCCAGAGATGCTTTGGGATTCATCGTCTTGCCATGACCTGTACACTGCCTACTCATATAAGCTATCAAACAACACTAAATCAAAGGAACCCATGACTGAAAATAGTCCAAAATGGCAACTCTAAGTCTTGCAAATTATCCCAAATTAAAAAAAAAAAAAAAAAAAAAAAATCAAGCTATGCTACATTTTCCCGGTTATGCCAACAATAGTGCTAGGGAAAGCAAAAAGAACTCCTCCTCCTCTGACTAAAATATCAGGGAACCTCTGATTTAAAATTTTAGCTAGCAAATGACCACTAGTGCCATAAAACAGCTTAGATTATTTTAGGCCTGCAAATAAAGAAATCTAGGTGACAAAAAAATATTAAATTATTGGAACTAACTTCTCCCATGCAGCCATAGTAAGGAGATCCCAGCATAAAGGCTGTGCTTCCAGGAGGAAACAAGTCATCCAAAGTTTTGATGTTTGAAAAACAAGAGTCAAAGGCTTTGATATCCTACATGAAAAAGACAAAATTGATCATGTTAAGCATCATTCAAGTCCAACAGAATAATTTCAAAGTTCATATAGAGAGATGCTTATTCTAAAATAGTATCTAAGTTTGCAATAATTCACTGAAAGCAAAGAAGTTAATATGGTATTACAAATGCTGTTTCACAAGGAACTTTGTTACCTCACAGAGTACCACTACTGTACTTGATTCAAAATATCATCAGCAAAAAGATGACAAAAGCCATTAGTTCAGTAACGTCTTTAAACTGTGCAACAGAGTCCCAACTTTTGTGACTCTGGGCCTAAACACATCACATTTTTTAATAAAATAAGTTATATTAATTTTAAATGCTTATTTGTAGTCATTCTTCTGTTTTAAAGGAGCATACACTCTCCTCGCCCCAGTGGAGTAAGGAGCTAGGTGCAAGATACTGAACTTGTATATTTACCTTGACAACAGTTTGGTAAACAAAAGGAAGAACTTGTTTTGACCACTGCTTCTCCAAATAAACTTCTCCGTTTTGGTTTAATTGATACCTATTCCCAGTGAGTAACTGAGCATATACAACTACTGATGTTTCATGAAGAATTATTCCTTTTCTTCTCTGGTAGCTGAATACAGAACAGAACATTGTAGATGGATTACAATAAACAGAACCGAACCAAGAGGGTGGAATTAAATTCTTGGGGAGAGGAGAGGGAGGAGATAATAATACTCAACAAAAGGATTGCTTCCTGTTTTATAAAAAAATACCCAAAATAAATGGCTTAAACAATTCCTTCTGCATTGTTGCACAGCCATGCCTACATAGCTAAGTGTGTTAATTTAACACTCCTTAACAGTGGAGGTAGGGGTAATTAAGGCAGTTAACTGAAGTGACACAATGAAGTGGCAAGCTCCTGTAACTCAGTTGTGTTCCTCTGGGCACCCACAGGCTGGAAGAGCAAGAGCCGTATTCAGATTTAACAATGCTAAGCCACTGAGCTTGGAACTTGACCCTGCATGACCCATTCTATCTGCTTCCTACAACTGAAGATTAGTAAGACCGGAACAAAAAACTGAGTGGGGGAGTAAATACCGAAACTCATTAATTTGAAAATTCTTTTGTAACAGCATCTAACTTCAAATACCTAGGGACTAACTCCATATATTCTGAAATTTTAACATAAGCACTTTTATTTTGCCTTTTTTAAATTCTAGCCGGCTCATTAACCTTTATAACCAAGCATGCAGCAGCTCTTCTCGGCTACTCAGGTCTGTAATAAAGCAAGAAAACATAGCTAAGAGATTAAATGCACAGTTGGACTAAACCCAGCACATTTTACTAGTTACTTACTGCTCTGAAATGCCTTGAACTTCCTTTAACCACATGCTTTGTTCCTTATCTCCAACATATGACACTTTAGCTGGGGGCACCGCATCTCCCATGTAAAGCTTCTGTGTCCCATGTGGTTCTTCCAAGTAAAACCTCGAGAGTATTAGGACAGGTATGAATGTAACCAAATAAGATGAATGTAGGCATAACCAATTGTGAGCAAAACTTAAAATAGTAAGAAATTGCTTTCCAAGACATGGAAAACTTGCAGCATCGTTTTCTCTACCCCTTCCACAAGAGGTCACATACCTTTTATTTCTTCCATAAAATTAAGAATGAGCTCTCCCAAATTCCTACATCTATAGAAAAATACTGAAGGACTAGAATTCTACAGAGCTAACCAAACTTCAGACCAACGTTAAACAAAGGTTCTTCCACTGGTGGGCCTTTGATACCTCTGGACTAACTTGCTGTTAGCAAGTATTACAATAAACCTGAAACTTTTTTACTGCCTGAGGAAATTACTTTGAATAAAACAATAAAGACAACAAACAACTATCTATGAAATGTCTTCTTACTTAGTTTCTCCATCTGACACAGCAACAACTCTGGCTTCTTCAAGGTGTGGCCAGTTAACAAAAACACGCTTTCCAAGTACCAAAGCAGCAACATTTTCTACCATCTGAAAAAAACCCAGAAGTTACTATTACCAATTGTCCAACGTATTACAAAATTTTCGTTAAAATATTTTCAAACTGTTTTTGTAATAAAATCTTTGATTAGGAATGTCCAAAAATAATGAAGTGTGATTCTCCAAAGTGTTGTATTCCAAGTGTGGCTCTTTACATACAGCATGCTAGTTGTAAGATCTGGGTTGATTTACATTTCTGGTATAGGCTTACTGGGTACTTCTTTGTTAAATCACTTAAAACTATTCGTGTCTGTGGGACAGAACAATTGAATTGACAGTTTCAGATTAGTGTAATATTTCATACCTTAAGAGTTTACTTTTGTATCTCATTGAAATAAATAAACAGCACTTATATCCAGAAGTCTCCTAGCATCTGTACTTTTAGACTCACATTATGTTCCATTTTTCCAATGAGTTTCTGCTATTTTTTAATCTATTATTGTGGCTTATTAAATTCTCTTTGCCACATATTGTGAGTATTCACCCTCCTCATCTATCCACTGTAAAATCCCATCTCGTCGTTTCTCCCTCCCTCTAAAGCTGTTTTCTTTTCCTGGATTTTCTTTTGCGACCTGGTATTTTTCAATAAGAACTAGAGCAGGTTTTTAAAGCATTTAAAAAACACATTTTGCTTCTTAATGTCTGCGTATCAACTCTTTCCTCTAATTCTTCTATCAGTCTCATGTAAGTGGAAGGTGTAAGTCTACTTTATTGATGAAAAGGGACTGATTAAGAAAGTGTCTGCATACTACCCAAAAGACAAGGGGCACTGCTTTGGAGACTCTGCTTCCTTGCATTTACATCATTTCCAACTATGAGTCAGGAGTGAGTCCCATCAACTCCTTGTCTGAGAACATCTGATGGCTGCCACAGAGAAATGCCTGAAACTCCACTAAGGAGACTGACATTTAATATTCTGAAGTCAGGACAAAGCTGGATCTTTCAGCAGATTCCCAAAATGCTAGATGGTTCCCTGCACAAATTTAGTGTTTCAATCCTAGAGAACTTTATTTTTTACTATTGACTCCAACTGCCCCCCAAAAAGTTTCAGTGTGAACCAATACTGCTGGTGTTTTCAGTGACCTGATTCAACTGACAGTTTCAACATATATACCAAGAATACTGTGACCCTCAGCATAAAGCCACATTTCACCTTCCTTTCTATTAATCAAATTTTAACAACCTATACATAAAGCTCATTGTGAAATCAAAGCATTAATAGTTAAATAAAGTTTTTTTAGAAACTAAAGATATTATTTAAATTAACTATTCTTTTTTAGGAAATGTTTGGGTTTAAAATAGTTTTAAACCTTTTCAGTACTACTCAAAGTTTTTCTCCTATAATAAACCACTGAGGAGATATAAATAACCAACATTTAAAATCTGACTATTTAACAAATTCAGTCTTTTTATGACAAGGTTTTTTTTTTTGTGGGGGTCTTTGTTTGGTGGGGGATTTTTTGGTAGGTTGTTTTTTGTTTGGAGTTTTTTTTTTTTTTGAGCCGAAAGCTTACCTGTTCTTTTGTGTTCTCATCAGCTATGATTTCTAACATCATGTTCTCTCCATGGCTGCTTTGCTGAAACACCTGCACACCACTTTTTCTAAGATAGAACTGGGTTAAAAAAAAAAAAAAAAAAGAAGGCAGCACATAACTATGTAAGAGTTCAAGTAAATTTTTTCTATTAAACACAATTGAAAATGTCAGAAGAAAAATCTTTTACCTTATGTTTAATGTGCTTTAAAGTAGGAAATCCACAAAAATATAATGCACTCTTGTTGATTTTAGTTATCTTATTGTGGGTTATTTCTACATGCCAAGCATCCAAAGGTATTGTTTTATACCTGAAAAACAAGTTGCACAACATTTGCTCATACAGGCTGACCTTCAGCTCTAGAAAATCTCATCAATCACCGAAAGATTCATTCAGTGACAAATCCTTTGACTTTCCTGTAAAGTGGCAATTAATTTAAGCCACTTGGAACCTATATGAAGAAGAATAAAAACCCATGCTATTGCTGCAAAGAGACTACTCATTGACAAAAAGACAAACCTTCAAGCCAAGGTAGTCCCAATCTCGCTATTTTAATTCATGGTTACTGTCAAATTCTAAGCCAGCAATGGTTCCATGTGGTATTATCCATCTTTACAACTATTAATTCTTTACTGAGTGCAATCCCACAACAGGCATTCTTCCCTCTATTTTGTTTGAGGTTTGATTACTATTAGGATTATGTTTCCATTTAGTCTTCAAACATCAGTCTGCTTTAAATAAAGTTGGCTACTTTCAGCGACAGGAAAGTGAAGACACATGTCAACTCTCTGCACTGGAACCAAATGCTTACTGGTGGTTTTTTTTTAACGAATGGTCTGGAATTAGTGTGCTGATAACTCATCGCTATTATCAGGTATGTGTACCAGTCTCTCATCCTCAGGGTCATATGAAGTTTACTAATTCTCTAGAGTGTTCTTGCCAACTTAGCGTTGGTTCATCTGTTTTACAAAGTAACGTTTGAAAAAAGGGGACAAATACTGTTACCATGCCATCCACAACAAGTAACATCTAATTCAACATTTACAATGGCATATTCAAGCTCTAGTTAAAACTCTAATAAAAATATTCTAATTACTTTTAGTCTATGCTAAAATAGTTATGCCAGCATTACCTTGTATGACATCTTTCTATTGCAGGAAATTTCTCTGGCCACGGTGACATGTACTGGAACTCTGCATCTTTGTCATACCAGTATGTTAAGCATGCACTGTGAGTATTTCTTTGTTTCTCCTCTTCTTTTAGGCACTTATTACAGGATGCCATGGCCTGCAGCAGTCGCTTCTGAAATTTAGAGAAATCAGCATACACGAAACTGGCAACAAAAATTAGCACAGAAACGTCTACATTGGGAAAGTGGATACCAACACTTTCCTGTTTAATGTGTTAATTTGCTAACAGCAGCCTCACCCTTGCTCACTGTCCCAAGCTCTCTGACAAAACCAGGACAACTACAATGGCATGGTTCTGGAGAATAAAGACTACCTTTTTGCAAATATGTTTTGAAAGGCTAGCCCTATTTTGCCTTTTACATATGAAATATAAAGAGATATTAACAAGATTTCTGATGTTAACATAAAATTCTGCAAGATAATTATTGAAAAAGCTTCAAAACCTTAGGATTGTTCAAGTAGCAACTGTTGTCTTTTGTGAGAAGATTAATTCCCGTCAGCAGCAACTATGGAATCAATTGACAGGCACAGAGCTCCAACTGTATATATCTTAACTTCTAATCTGTGCTTTTATTTTCATCCACTCTTGATGTGCTCAAATTTAATCTGACGGAAGATACTACAAAAACGTTTGTAACATTGTTATGTGCAAAAGGAAAATGTTACTATTTGATTCCTCTCTGTTAATGTTTTGCTGTTTGATTTGTACTCAGTCTTGTATGCATTACTGGTGTTCACATGAAGATATTTTCCATAAAAGGACTGAGGGTTTTTTATTCTACAGACATTCTGTATTTTTCTATTAGGTATATAGGAATAGAATTTTTTTCTCAAAAAATCTGAAATTAATTATTTGAATAGCTGATTAAAAACATGAACCAACAACAAAAAGTCCACATCCCTTAAGACTTCTGCCAATCAAAGCTAACTGCTTGTGGTGACTTAATTTAGCCTTACTCTCCAGGCAGCAAACATTCATATTTTTCTGTGGCCTTTTATAAAAAGACCACAGAACATAAAAATATAAAAAGCTTTTTCTGAAGCTTTTATAGGCAGCAGGCATTGAAAGAACTTACTTCATCAATAAACGGGATTAATACTACAGCTTCCCATTCTTGCTGTTTTCCATTTAGGTCAGTTTTAAAATCTGGTGGATAATATTCTATAATAGGAGAGTCTTGACTGATCATCAAATGCTAGGAAAATACAACAGAGGAATTAAACAACATCAGAGACAATTTAGCACTAATTTTAAGAAGAGATAGCGGAAGGCTAGTATTAAAATCAATGGAAGGCTGAACAAGAATTCAGCATTTATCATTTTACTGTCCAAGTCTGAAATTGCTTAGCAAAGATAAAATTTCTATTTATTATTAACTTTACAATGTACTAAGAAGCAAGAAGTAAGAAGTATTTAACCGTACACCTAAAATTTAGAGGTAGAATATAACTAAGAGGACACACAAAAATACCAAGAAAAGAGTTACTTCAAAATAAAGCAGACAAGCAGTAAACGATAAATAAATGCACTTTAATTCTAAATCCCACCTGGTAGCACTTAGGTAGCAGATCTTTGCTAGCTGCTGGAAGTACAGCAAGAAGCTGTTCAAATGGCATGAAAGGTTTTCCCAGTTCAAACTTAATTTTGAGTTCACTGATGTTGCGAATATCTGACAGATAAGGTGCATAATGATAAGGATAATACCTGCAGGGAAAAAGAACGCCTAAGTTTCTTGACTTAATTATAGCACACCAGTATTCAAAGATCAGAAACAAACAGAACTCCAGTAAATGCTCCCAGCATACAAGTCGAAATATGACTTGACCTTTAAACAACTCCTCATTTGAGTTTTTCTTACCAGCTCCATGACTGAACCCCATGGTAATAATAATGCAAAATCCATTGTATTGCCTGGACATAACATTCAGCCTGATCAGCCAAGAAGTCACTGAAAAGAAAAAGGAGAGGTACTTAACAGTTTTTCTCATTTTCACTTGTATATAAAGATTACTTAGCACCTCGTACATAAGAATGAAGATAGAGCACTTTTGGGAATCATGGTAAGACTTTAATACTAATGGATCTTTTCTCTCTGGTCCTCAAATATTTCTTACAAAAAATCTTGACTTGAAGCTCTTCTTGCATTAACCAAAAGCATTACCTCTGCAGTACACTGCCATGTGTTCTCTGCTTTCGACATGGACGACTATTCTACCTTGTATCAGACATATTAGACTTGTATTAGATTTGTCTTTAGTGTGAAAAAGAAAAAGCATACACTTACTCAGAAACTACTTCTACACCCATTTTAGTCATGTAGTAAGTTCTTTTATATTGCCTAAACTCAGTTTCAAACAGATCATCATCTTCTGGTTCGTCTTCCGACACAGCTGAAAAATCAGTCATGAGAAGAAGGAAAAAAAAAAAAAAAAGAAGATTAACATTGATTTCTCTACTACTTTTTTGGTTCCCCCTTCAGGCAGGCATGCCATTTTGTAGCCCAGTTATAAAATAGAGAAGAGAATATAAGAAGTTAAAATTTAATCTTTTTTTTCTTACATCATGTAGCAATACTTACACATTTTTTACATTAAATTTCAAAACATGAGCAAAAGACATTTTCTACAAGTAGAATGAGTTTAAAAATCATAATCAATATTACCAGAAACGCCAAAGGCATACAAAAATTCTCATTTGCACCCACCTGTGTAATACAATATCTAGGCATACAATTATCATCATGGAAACACTGGTCAGATAAGAAGAACTTTGAAAGCGTTAGCCCCACTCCCTTGCACATTAAGCCAGTGATAGACAGTCCCATTTCCCAATAGCTGACTACAGATCGCTTTCATTTGGATTAAGGTCATCTCTGACATGGAATTCTTACAGATGTTCCAAATCTATACACAAATTAACAAGGTTTTTGTTCAATGTATAAGGAAGAATTATTTGCACTTACTTTTAGGGGTCACAACTTCACCTTCATTTTTTTCTAAAGCCGCCAAACATATAGAGTTTTCCTCAGCCTGTTAAATTAATATTTGAGATAAAGTAAAAACGCAGAATTATATGCACATACCTCACTCTCAACCATAATAACTGCAACTCAAAATGCTATAATCAAGATATATAAATATTATTATTCTTTAGGGTAAAACCCACTACATTTCCTTCTCATGTAACAGCCTAGGGAAAATGATTTTATCCATACAGTTCAGATGAAGGATCAGTCTCAAATAAAATCTCACCTACCTTTTTGAAATATCTGAATGTTTCCCAAAATACAACTATTTCCAAAGCTGCACAGTACATATTTCAGCATTTTTACCTACAACAAGCATTCTGCTACAGCACCAGAATGAGATCTAATGACTTGTGGGAAATAAGGATACAAGAAATTGTGTTTTAGAAGGTCAAACAAGCCAAACATTCACTGCATCCTCACTACACAGTGTCTTTTGTGTACAGCACCGAGTAGCTTTCGGTAAGCAGAAGCATTAAGCTGTCCCTCTTCCCTTGTACCTGCGATACACAAGCTCCTGACTGTCACTGCCATTCAGAGGATCAGTCAAGATGGCTAGCTAATACTATACAGCAGCTCCAAACTTCTGTGGCAAATAAGAAAACAACCACAAATAAAGTATAGTTTACTGAAGGAAGAGCTAACATGCTCTTACAAACCACAAACTGCACTAAAGAACAGGGTAATTGTGTACAGTGACAGAGTAAACTTGAAGGAATTTCCTGCTGCTACTCTAAACTCTGCAGAAGGCATAGACTGAAGGACAGACAGTGGAAATGGTGGTGGGGAGTCAAGATACACAGAAAGGTGCCGTTCCTTATTCATTGGTTCTATCGAGAATTGCAAGTTTAATAACCAATCTGAGATAATTCACACCAATTAAATGGCTATTTATCTATTTATTGTCAAATAGTTGGCCAATACCAAGACACACATGAGAAAGACCTATCAGCATATCTGAAACATATAAAACTTCCAGCAGGCTCTGCACTGAAAAGTGAAATTATAAAGCACAGTAAGTTTGACCATAACTCACCTAGAAGTAAGTTCTGTGGCTGTTGAGGAACAGATAAATTGACATAAAGCATGAAGTTACAGGTTTACAAGATTTCAAAAAACGTAAGAACTTGACCTTGACAACAATTTCATCACTCACCACCAGCAACGCATACAGGTAGTTCCTCAAATGTTACATTTACTACCTTTTCTGATCTCAAAAATTCTCAGAATAGAGGTTTATGCCATTTAATTTGCATAAGATCAAATTACTGATTGGCAAAAAGTAACATTATTTCCAAAACTGCACATGTAAACACTAACCTTTTGTTTCTTTTGTTCTTTTTTTCTGGCTTCCTCTGCTGCGATACCAGCTGCCTCGTTGAGGTATTTATTGCCCACTTTGCTTTCAAACCATTTTAGGTCTACAAAGACTTCACTGAAGTGTTCACGGTCAAACTGCGTAGGAAGATTAAAGTCAGTTTAGAAATATTTGAGGGATGACAAATTCATAGTGTTAAATTAACAATGTCTTTTTAGTAGGTGCATTAAATTACATCTAGAGTCACTTATACATAAACATTTTGTCCTAGACCTACAACTAAATTAATGTATTAATATTAAAAAAAATTTTGTGATCGATTTAGAACATGCCCAAGCCATATTTCGTTTTCTTTCCGTACAGCAGCAATGGAAGAGCTGGATAAATTCCACACTTCACTACCACCTTTAGAAGCAGTAGAAATTCATAGGGTCTGGGTAATACAGTCTTGTGCCACACTCCCAATACTTTCATAGTTCTGCCCAAAAATCAGAAGACAGGGCTGATGCAGGGACAGCAGATGAACTTCCTCCTCATCAGCAGAGGGCTGACACCTTTCCATTTCTACATGGCCTATACCTTTCCTCATCTCTGGGATGAGATTACTGCAGTGTAGCTTAAAAGGATTGCCCCCTGTATGCCAGCCAGTTCCCGAAGAATGCTGATGCCTGCCTCTGAGAAACACTTATGATTCATCGCTCTTGATCAGTCACCTTCATAAAAAACTTGCAAAAAAAACTGCTCTCCAAGATCTTCAGACATAGCTTCTTTGCAGAAGAAACTGCAGGGGAAGCAATAAAACATTGTGCCTGCAGCGTGCTTTGTCCAGTACTGCCACTCATTACTGAGTGAGAATTGAGGACCGTGAGTCCAGTGGTGAATCCTCATTTGACTTGCAGTACTAAAAAATGCTGGCTAAAGCATAGATCAAATGATAAATCCTTTTCCCCTTAGGTTAGGTTATGTTATCAGACAACAACTGATTGGATCCCATCAGTTAAATGATAAAATAGTTGACTGAACCACCTGTAAAACACAGTTATTCAACAGTTCTTTAAAACTAAGCATGGTGTATTTTAGAGAGTTATACTGAGGTTATACTCAACAGACTACACTGTAATTTCAAGGTTACTTACATCTGACAACCTTGTGAGATATTTCTCAAAGCGTTTTAAATTCAGATGCCCGTTTTCATTTATGTAACCTATTGGGAAAATAAAATATGTTTTTAAATTAACAATTTAATAATTTTAAAACTTCCATTCAAATGCCCCATAGGTAATGGAATGCAATCTTGCTAGCTGTATAAAGAAAGGGTAATAAATGCTAAACATTCTAACATGGCTAAAATAAATATTAACACAGGACTGTTAATGTTTTTACTTTTCTCAACTAAACTTTGTGTTCTTACCTCCCAGTTCTGGCAAGATAGCCATATATGTTCTGTAAAGTAGCGGCAGTGCATCGTGATTAATGTGTAAATGAGGTAGATGAGGAATAAAATCATTTCCTACAAGGAAACCCATTAAGATCCAATCATCTATTATTCTTTCAATATCATATCCAAAGGAAATCTTCTCCTGGGAAGGGAAGAAAAAGGAAGACAAAAGGAAGAAAAAACCCACAGAAGCATGATTTTTTATTATCATGTTTGCATAAAAAAGCCTCACACATTTCTTCAAATCAAAGCTCCTTTTGATTGAACTTACTTTGACTGGTGAAAATTCATAATCAATATATTCTCTCATCAGTGATAAGTGCAGTAAATGAAACGTGGTTTCCTCTGGTGCACATGCTCTGTAAATTATTCAAAACATTAAGTTAATTATTTATAAACACACTTTCAGCATGAATATTTAATAACTCCAAGGTTACCTAAAACTAAGTAATCTTATTAGGATTATATCCTTGCAGAAGAAATAACGTACAAACATTTCTTTGAATCTATTTTAGGACTCATCTGGTCTGAGTTTATAAAATTTTGAGTCTAATCTTCTGAACAGCAGATGCGGCTTCACTGTATGGAAAACAGCTGGCTTAGACAAAGCAGGGCAGCTTTGTGAGTTCCATGCTGCATTAACTATTTCCTAAGTAACTCTGTACCAAACCCAATATATTTTAACATACTTTAGAACTAGTTTGAGTATATACAGGGTATACAGAACCATGTCTCAACTGGCGGGGTTACAAGAAGCATTTAAAATGACCGTAAATATAAGAAATGAGTATGTTCAACTTGAAAATATGCTATTTATATATAAAACATGCTATGAAACACGTATTATCTAGTGGCTTCAACACTGCACCAAAAAAATAACAAACCTACCCTTTGTTTATGGCATAAATTAGTCAACATACATTGCACCTTTTCCCCTCTTCACTAAAACTACTTACCACCTATGCCAACGTTAGGCCAAAATCAGTTAATACCTACACCAAAAGATTAAGGAACTAAAGACTGATGTATTTTAAATTTGTAAAGGACTATTTCCCCTTGTAGCTACTGTAACTAGCTGGGAGAACCTCCAGCGACAAACCAGCACAAACACCCATGCACACAGTAGATTTTGGCCAAAATCCTCTGAGCAAGATGTGTGCCATACACAGGCTTACATGAGGCTGAACTCTGAGCTGCATAGCACTTAAGCCCTAATTCTGTCACTTTTTAAATCTAAACTTCATACTGGCAAATGCAGGTTGATTCTCTAAGACTATGAAGAGATTTTGCCCCTTATTGTTCATTGCACTGGACTTGAAAATCCTGATAAAACAAATAATTTCTCTCAATCAAGAAATTGCCGACAGATTAATTTAAATGTATTTTTAGTATTTTCAAATTTCCAACCGCAAGTACTCATAGAAGTGACAATACTGACAGAACACAATCCCTGTAATTTCCAGAAGTAAATGCCTGCAATGAGCATAATTATCCGGAAATTACAAGGGGAGCCAAATATGGAACAATGCTTGAGGGGGAAAAAAAAAAAATTAAAAAATGACAGCTTGCCTTTTGATTTCATACAATATTTAATTAATCCATCAAAAGGTCACCACACTTTAATTTTATATTATTTTATTTTTTAAAAAAGGGAAAAATGTCATGTTTCTGTGATTAAACTTAAGGTCTTAAAAACATTACCATGTTACATACCAGCAATACCAACAGAAAGAGTATTAGTGAAAAGTTGACTGCAGAACACTATGAAAACAATCATTATTTTGGGAATTTACCACACTGTCCTTAGCAATAACATCTGTTTATTTGCAAAAATGATGCTTTTATCTAAACATTTATATGATTTATCCCTGTATTATCCAAAATCCTTTTTGTATCAATATAAGTGTATTTCTCTCTGTCTCTCCAATCTTCTCCCTTTATCCACCAAATACATGCTTAAGCTCCTTAAAACAAGGAACGTAGCCACAGTAACATAACTTAACAAGTTAATTTCTCTAGTTTTGTGTATTTTCAACACAAAAATAAACTCAGACTTTATTAATTTAGTACGCAGTCAATAAAAAAAAACCCTGATTTAGTGACCCAGTATCTTATATATGATGAAATTAAAACCAAAAGATAAGAGTAAAGTTAAATCATTTCACCTTTGAGATTTTTTACCACCAAATCTGACTTCTTCTCTTAAGAGCGCAAAGTGTGCCTCATGACTTGTTAATCCCAGCATAATCTATTACAAAGAGATATTAGAAAAGTCTTCATTATTTTTTGGTCTTAAACTGTTACTTTAAGTTTCGAGCAGTATAAAGAAATTCTGCTGTTCTGTTTCATTACAAATTCAAAAGTTTTCAGGAATACTAAATTACTTGCTTGTTTAATAATATTTTAGAACACTATGTGCTTCAGAAGACATCGAAGAGATACATGTTTTATAAATGTCTGTTGTTTGTATTATTGAACCGCACATACCAGGTCAGCATCTAAGCCATAGAGACAGTGTCTTGTGTTTGGATCATGATGGGGCTTTGCCTTTTCTGATCTGATGAACTCCATAATTTTATGCTCACCTTCCCCCGGAGTCTGCACAAAAAAACCCAAAATTCATCAGTAAGTATTTTTCTAGAAAATAAAAAATTATTTAAAATAAAATATTAACAAAATACAGTGACCTCATGGCCTGATAAGTAGACTGTTACTCCTTGCCAGGACTTGTCTGTGGAAATCTTCATATTTACAAAATATTTAAGATGTTCATGCAATCTGGCCATGAATTCAGTTCCTGAAAACAGAAATCTAAGATAAACACACAGCTTTTCACTAGCCATTCAAAACTGTATTTACATATCTAAAGCATTAATAAAA